TGATAACTAGGAGTGGAATATGCAGAAACTATGAACATGGATATAGACATATGACCACAAAAGTTTCAAATATTGCAAAAGACAGCAAGAACTGAGCCCAGTGATAAGATATTGGCAAGACAGAATAAAGTGGCCACAAAAAGTCACATCAAATGAAAACAGACACCAAGCTTCTTCTGTCAGATTAATAAAAACACTCAAGGCTACTAATATCCCAGGTCTCAAGGGTGGGGAAAATCAAATCCCTATGCACAGCTCGGGGGTGAGAATGCTTATAACCTTTTCCCTCAACTAATCTAATAAAGGCTAACAAAATTCCAAGTTGAATGCCCCTTGACTAGCAGCAATTCCACCCTAGGAGATCACCTGCAGAAGCAGGAACTGACATCTAAGATAAGCAGGGTCAGACACCTAGAATCTGTGTCACCATGAAGTTGCCAGCAGCAGAGAAACTGAATAAACCATGAAAATCTGCAGTGTGGACTATTACACAGCCACTGAAAGAACGGATTCAGAGTTATCACCAATTATGGCAAGGGACTGTTCACTGCACATCACATATTAAAGGGAGTCACAGAGTAAAATGTGGGTGGTAGAACCGCGTTTTTATAGTCTTTAAAAGAAAAGGAAGCATTCCACACGTGAGAACTCTGATATGCTTGCGACTGTGAGTTTGTGGAGGGACATTAAAAACCACCGGTAATGTCAGTTACCTACCAGCAGAGCACTGACGGGGAGGAGAGCGCATGTTTGTGCATTTCCTGGATTTTAGTTACGGCAACAATTACATACTGCTTTGGGAATATTTTTAGAAGTCTAGCGGCATTGCTCTTAAAGGGAACACAAAGACTTGGCTTCTTTGCCAGCAGCTGCTGCAGGTGATTTCAAAGGCACTCATTCGGTGTCCCAGGCATTGAGAAAATTAGAAAATAATGAAGCAGCTGCACCAAAGGGTAACTGGTCAAGCCCCCACTCAGCGCTGTGCTCTTGTGCACTGCGGCCAATCACCACTCAGCTGTGCCAGGGGTTCATAAAAGACGGAGGTGACCCACCTCCTAACTTGTTGGACCTCGCAGCCTGGGAAGGGAACCCCACTAGGGAGGTTCCCAGAAGGAAAGTACCATGTAGTTTGTTCATCACTGACCTCTGGCCACAGCTGCCCCACCCCATCTGTCTCCAGCTTTGCCAAGCTTCCCTGCTATAGTTCAGCTCTAGAACAGCCACTACAGGCCCATGTGGTAAGGACTTGGTTCTGTACGGCATGGCTGAAAGGAGGAGAGCCTAGAAGTGACATCAAAGGGTCAGTGGGTCTCAGCGCCTTCCTCTTCCTTCCTCTTGTTGCTTTCTGGTTCAAAGCAATCAGGACATATATTCCTACCACAGTAGGAATATATGCCTTGCCATAGAACTGCAAGCAAAGGGCCAGGTGATCAGGGACTGAAATCTCCACATGGCAATCCTGCATACACACACACACACACACACACACACACAGATACATATATACACATTCACACACAGACACACATACATATATGCACATTCATACACACATAGTCACATACACGTACACACACATATACACATGTACACACATACACATATACACACACAGACACATACATATAAATACACACACCTATACATTCAGTGACAGACACACACATACAAATACCCTTCACATGCACACATATACAAACATATATACACATATGAACATGCACAGATAGACACATCATACACACACATACATACATATATATATATACATACATACACACACACACACACATACACATGGAACTTTTAAGTTTTCTCAATGTCCCCAGTGTAGTGTGTCTTCAGATTCCTCTTGAACCTTCATCTTCCAGGCATGCCTAGGGATTTTCCTGAGAAACAGAAGGTGTGGCTGCCTTGCCAAGGTGGATTCCTCCGTCAGGAGACTCCTCTCCACCCTCTGCCACCTGGACAGTAAGTGTGGTCTTCAGTTAGGCACTTGGTGTTTTTTGTTGTTTTTTGGTTTGGTTCCATTCGGTTTGGGTTTTTCCAGACAGGGTTTCTTTATGTAGCCTTGGCTGGCCTGGAACTGGCTCGACTTTTTGTTTCTAAAGTGAGCAACTAAGTTCAAAGCCACTTCCTGGCTCCGTGACCTCAGGGCAGGTACTTATTTCTTCTTTGTTCATTTCAGGTCACTCACCACAAGGAGCCAGGATTGCATGAGGAGCAGGCCCTGAAGGAGAGGTTGGCTTGACTGTGGCTAAGACGAGTGAGACACCTCATGGAAACTCAAAGGGAGGGAACTGTCCAAGACCCTCAGCACTAGAAGGCACAGTGCACTACGCCATCAGTGAAATGACCCATGGCCCGAGTAAAAGGAAGGGTCAGGCCTGGAACACAGTAGGTACAAAGTAAGAACTGCTTTTCTTATAGGAGAACCGTTGATAAAATGATTCTTCATCAGGTACAAACCACAGATGATCAAAAAGTTTGAGGCAGCAACGAAGCACTCCTTTCAGAAGGTTCACAGAGCAGAGTCCAGCACGAAACCCAGTGTAGGTTTCCATAAAAGCCAGCCATCCTGGTCACCTGTCTATAAGGAAGACCCTTCAAGGGAGTTAAGGGCAAACATATTCATTATCCATAGGGGACTGATCTCAGGAACCTCCAGCCCCCATGGTTGGGTGTTCAAATCCTTTATACGTCATACAATTTGCATATGATCCACACATGTCTTCCTGCATACTTTTAAATCATTTCCAGGCTGCCTATAATAACTAATACAATATAAATACCATGCATAAATAAATAAATAAATACCATGCAAATGTTGCTGTGTTCTATGGTTTGGGTAATAATGACCAGGGAAAATCCATACATATTTCTGTACAGATACAGGATTTTTCTGCATATTTTCATTCTATGGTTGATTGAATCCATGGCTACAGAAGCTGCTGAAGCTGAGGGCAGAGTGTATAAGGAAGGCAAAGAACTAACTCATGCTACCTGCTCACAACCACATCAACACACAAACCTGCCCCAACTGGAATGACCATTCTTTCTGCAGGGTAGAAACAACACGTGAAAATCACTATGCGCTGCAGTGAAAGAATTTAAAGGCTGGAGCTCAGTGGCAGAGTACTTACCTTGTATGTATGGGGGTGTTCCATCCCCAGCACAGGGGAAAAAAAGAATTTCAGAAACACTTGTAGCTGATTAAGTGTGACAACTAAACAGAAGCCTGTGGGGTGGAAGGACAGAGGGTAGGAGGTGAAATGTGTAAGCACTTTATGGTGGTTTCAGTGCTGGAGCCTGGAGAAACGCAAGCACAGAGCCTAACACTAGGACAGGACTCAGAACTGGGGGAAACTAGAACCAACCACTTACAGCTACTCAAGACAACAGCACTTGAAGCCCAAACTGCATTGTTGTTTTACACGTTTAACTTAACTCCTGAAACAAAACGTAGGGAATGTATGTTTTAATATAAATGCTTTTCTGCTGCCTCCAATTAATGTTTTCTTTTTTAAGGCTTATTATAAAAAAGGCAGTTCTCTTTGCAAACCCTGGGGAAATTGAGCTAAGGCTCAGAGGAGGTGGGGGAGGCTCAGGAAAGAGCCAGGAAGCCTAATTCAGCAGTCTGCCACCTGTAGGCTGGTTCCAGCAGGCTGAAACTCGGTACCCACTAGACAGACATGAAAACAATGCATATTAAGTAATGCTAAAAACCGAGCAACAGATGTGTGGAGACTATATATAGGGGCGGGTTTGGACCACGGCTCCCTAGAGGCTGCCGCCCACCTCCGTTCATCGATCTGAACACGGGGAGATGTGACCACACGTTCTGTCATCCTTATTCAGCTCTCCAAAATGAGCCCCCCCACCCCATCTGAAATAAGCTTTGAAAATTAATACCCCCATTAGGATGAACAGCCACACCTGTATCGATCCTTGTTTCAAGGGTAGTTTTGCTGGGATCTGATTTTAAACCGGACAAGGAACTTGCAAGAACAAAGGCCATTACAAACTAAATAAATAAACAAAAGCAAGACCGATTTTTTTAATTACAAAAGTTAAGAACAAACGGCGATTATTAATTTTAGGCTTGGTTTGGTTCTGTGTCAGCAGAGTTTAAACGCATGGTGTTCACTGGAAGCCTGTAATGTATTTGTGCACCATCGACCAAATGTACTTACAGATGTCAAGAGTTCTCGAAACAAGCGCCTGTCTTTATAAATACCGGTGCCGCATCTAGCTCCTAATTCCCATATGACCGGTCTTTACTAATACAGAAAATAAGCAACTTTAACCAAAACGTTACAAAATACCTAAATAAATAAATAAATCATCTCGGACCGATGGCTTCTTTAATAAATGCTTCCTAGGGGAAGATTTCAGGGTCAAGAACCTGAAAATCAGTCTGGAGTTCTAAAAGCACACTCCTGGCTCCCGGTCCCCAGGCTGTCCAGCAGGGCCATTCCAGGCTTACGAGAGAAACAAGACGTCGCCGTATCTGGGAGGTGAGCGGCCAGAGCGGGACCAGCCGGTCTCCCCCGAACTGACCTACAACCGAACGCGAAACACCGCGCGCCCCCAGCGAGGACCGCAGCTAAGGGAGCCGCTCACAGCGGGCTCTGCACCGGACTCCGGCGCCCCCGCGCCGCGCCAGCTCGGTCACGGTGGCCCGCTGCCCGGGTCGGTGACTGGCGAGCAGTGTAGTCGACAGCTGCCCCGGGCAGGGACACGCCATCGATCACTACCCACCAGGTGGCGAAGGAAGGGCGCCTGGCTCCTTTCCCCCCTAGAAAACTAACTCTGGGCGCAGCGCGTTGGAGCAGCAGCGCGACTCGCGACAGTCCCCGGAGTTCCCCTGCCCGGGACTTGGAAACTGCACTCGAGCCGCAGCTGCCAGAGCCCGGCGTCCGCGCCCCCACTCGGCGCGGGCCGCGTCCCCGTCACTGCAGCTCCCGGTCCCAACCCGCGCCACCGCCGCAGACACTCACCGAGAAGCCGGCCCAGAAAGGGCAGGAGTGGCGCACGCGGGCCGAGGTGGTGAGCGCCAGCGCCGCGAAGCTCACGGCCACGATGAGGCATCCGAGCGCCATCTGCGTGGCCCCGAGAGCCAGAACGATGCGGGAACGGCCCGGGCACTCGCGCAAGCGGGACAGGCTGCGGGGCAGCGCGTGCGGGCGCGGTGTGCGGGGGCCGCCGGCCGGAGGCATCGCGCCCCGCAAGCTCTCTCCGCGCTGCGCTCCTTACAGAGGCGCCGAGGCAAGTTGCGCCGGCTGCGGTGACCGCCTCCCGGCGGACAGCAAAGGCTGCGACGCGCGGCCACCGCGAGCGGGTCGGGCCAGGCAGAAAGCCGGGCTCCCGCAGCCCGCGCCGGTGCCCGCGCCCATGCCACCACCACTGCGCAGGGCCCGCCGGCCGCGCGGCGCCCTCTCCCGCTCGCCCGCCCGCCCGCTCGCTCGATCGTCCGCGCGCTCCCCCGGCCGAGAGCGGGCGCGAGCCTCTGTGCCGGGCGCGAGCTGCCGCGGGCTTCGGGAGCGAGCCTTGCCTCTGCGCGCTGGGCCCGGGAGGGAGCTGGAGCCGAAGCCGGGGACCAGGCGGGGAGCCGGGAGCGGGAGAAGTCGCAGGTGTGTCCTCCACGCTGGCGCCTCCTCCCGGTCGGTGAAGGATCCCCAGCAGAGAGAGGACAGAGTCTCGACAAGGGCAAGGGGAAAGAGCCCGCTCCGCCGAGAGTCTGACTGAGGCTTGGGAGCTGGGTTGCGGGACCTATGGCCCTAAGGGCCAGGAGTCCTGGGATGTTCGTTTCCTGCTCTGAGCCCCAGGTGTGAGGGCTTTCAGCCCCGTTGCAGGGCAGACCAAGCAAGATAAGCTTAGATGTCTTCCTGCAGTTCCAGAATCTCCCTAGCAGCCACCTAGGACACTTAGGGGGCATGCGGTTGCCTCCTTTCCTTGGTGAGGCTTTTTACAAAACAAGTCCCAAGTTTGGGCTTTCAAACAAAATGCAAAGCTAATGTAAATGGACATAGTAACGACCTATTAAATCTCCTATACTCCCTCTTGCCAATAGTTTTAATAATGTCTGGCTTCCTTGGAATTGCAAGGAAACCTGGAAATTCGGTCCTCGTAATGGCTCTGTGACCCCGTTGATGGGACACTTTTAAACCTATTAATGTTGAAAGAGGCCTAAAATGTTGGAGGTATGAAGGCTTGACCGAAAAATAAAAGGCAAAGTTGAAAAGGATATAAGGCAATTCTTCCATGGCCTCTTGGCAGGACTTATGGAGCCCAATCCCACCCCACCCCACCCCACGGCCAACGTTGAATGGGAAATACTGAACAGCGTCCTGAAAATATCTCAATTGCTGGTGCTTGAAATTTCAGCTTTAGAGATATTGATTCCTTTGGGGCTTGACGAGCCTCTATTAAAATGCAAATTCCCCTTGAAGGGGCAATAGCTCAAACCTTTATCAGCCAACACCTTACCAGGGATGGGATTTATTTTCCAATTTAACTGGATGGCCAAGGGATGAAGAGAGTGGATGGGAATCCCAGGATAAAGTGACTGACCTCAAAATATTGGCCTGTGACCAACTGCTGCCATCTCTCCCAGTCCTTTGTAAAATGAATAAGCCTCTGGCCAGGTGTTTAGAGCACCCTAGTGCAAATTCCAATTTCCTGGAGGTGTTTTCTATCTAGTTCTCACTGCAGCATTTTTGTCAGTGCTTGAAACAATATCAAAGTGTGAGGCCAGACTTCCCTCATCTCCCTCATCCATTCCTGCATTCTTCTGAAAACCGATTCAGACTAGGAGTCTAAGCAGAAGCCACCCATTTAAGGCTCTCCCCGGGAAGGTACCTCGATGAACAAAACAAGAGAAATAATCAGCATAACAAATGAACACATTATTTAGCTTACCCATTTGTATACCACTCAAACCCCTACTGTTTGCCAGAAAGATTTGAGACAAGCAAAAACAGACACCACCACCCCCAGGAGACTTTTGATTGCCTAGGGACTTTGTCAGCACTGGGATAATTGCTCCAAAGTCAGATGCTTCTGGGTTCGGTGGGATAGAAAATGCTGCTACACCTGACACCCACCCCCATCCCCTGAGACTGGAAGTTGCTTTCTGGTCAGAGGCTATTGCTATCACCTTGGTAAGCGTGTGTGTGTGTGTGTGTGTGTGTGTGTGTGTGTGTGTGTGTGTGTGTGTGTGTGTGTTTGTAAAGGAAAGCAGTGTAGTAGGTCAAGGGGTGGGGGGCAAGAGGAGGAAATGGGGTAAGTAATAGATCAGGGGGTGGGGCAAGGGGTACAAAGTGGATTGGCTTAAAATGGAGACATGCAGACAGAGATGCTTAGGAACTGTGGGTGGTGGTTTGAACACAAGGAAGTGCTAGGGTTCTGTCTCTAGGAAACTCATGTATTAATTAAATCACTTCCAAAGTAAATGTAGAAGTTTTTCTATTTGTGAGTGGCATGCTGACAGTTCTGAGAAGCAGGAGGCATGAGTGAGGTGAATTACAAATATCTACCTCCACTGGGAACTTCGACATGGAGAGAACCAAGAGATCGATCCTGAAATTGAGCTTACTTTGCTGTCCTAAAAATTAGTCCCATTGTTTTTTGTTGTTTTGTTTTTTTAATTAGCTTAAGACAAAATAATTCAAAAACAAAGTAAAGAGCAGTTTGTGAGTCAGGTAGCCCTCAGAGTCAGAAGTGCAGACAACGCTCCTCCACAGCACCCACAAGATGAAGAAATGAAAAGGGATGAAGAAAAATCGCAACTGTCCAAAAGGCTGGTGGTTTCAAAATCCCTTCCTGGTGAAGACTCAAGCAGAGGGAATGCCATTATCAGGCCACTGAAACTCAAGTGTTGAACATTTCTCAGGAAGTCAGATGAACAACTTGGCTGCAGTCTGGCATTTCAACACAAGTGATGCCATTCTGGTTTGGTCTGGTCTAACATCTCGTACAAGCAGTCTATATAATTTCCTTGGACATTGTTTCACTGAATTTTAAAATTCTATGCTGTTGACAATGGTGGCTATGGTTATCTTGGAATTTGGAGTTATAATTAAACTGTGTTGATTTCAGGGGCCTGAAGTCGTGAAGAAAGAAGGGAGGGGGAGGAGAGTGGGAGAAGAGGAGGAAGAAGAGGGCACTACTATGAACCTACCCTCTTGCTCTGATCCTAACAACTCCCTTTGAGCCTCAGGATTTGTCTCCTATAAAACACACCATACTGTGATAGCAGAGTCTACATGGTCTCCAGGGCCAGCTGAAGACAACTTTTTCTCTTTGGTCAAATGAGACTAAGTGACTAAAACCATGATTTATTTAGCACAACAAAACAGATAGCTTAAGTTGATGAAAGGCAAGTTACTTCTCTCTCTTGCCATGACAAAGTGAGTAATGTTGACCAAAATAATGCCTCACTCTGCCACGCAATTAATTCCATTCTTGCTCCTGTCAGCGTGAACCTTTCTATAGGTGAATGAGAAATGAAGATGTCCCCTTGTGTCCTCTCTAAGCAAGAAGAAACTTGTACTGAGAGCCTCTGCGCTCAGCAAGCAATGGTCCAAGGGGTGATCTCTTCTGGGAATGGAAAACTAATAACATCAGCTCAAGGTGACTAAAAACAAGATAAAATGTTTTGGAGAATTAAATGTATGAAAGAATTATAGAGAAAATGAAGGCACATCATGCTGAGATTCAAGAGGGGAAAGAACCATTGAGGTGGGTGAAATATAGGATTAGAAAGATGAGTTTGAATTCAAAGGTTTCTAGGGCTGAGGGCTCGGTAATCCAGTTCCCTACTTTGCTATGAAACCCCAAATGGAAGTAAAGGTACCCTGAAATCTCAGACACAACCTAAAGCAAAGACAGTCCTGTATTACACAACCATCTAAGAGCTGACAAAAGCATTACAAGGGCCTCTCCAGTAATATCTTTGTAGGTCTGAAGTTACTTCTGCAAGCATGGTTTCAAACTCTCTTCTTCCCTTAATGCCTTCAGCATTGGATGAGGCATTGATGAAAAAGCTACAGCTGATATCATACTCAATGTTGAAAGGCTAGAAGACTTTTCCCAAGATCAGGCCAGCAACAAGGAAATCTGCATTCACCACTACAAGTCAACATTGCACTAACAAGTGCAATTAGACTTGAAAAGGAAATAAAGGCATCATGATTTTTAAAAAAGGTTAAAAAATGATGTCAATTTGAAAATGGCATAATCCTATATATAAAAAATTCAACAAAATATACAGGAAAGCTGTTAGATCTAATAAATTCAAACAAATTTTAAGTTGGGAAATCCACACATTTCTGTACCCCAGCCACAAACAATCTGAAAGGGAAATTAATGAATCAGATCAATGCTAAGTAAGAGCTAAGATTCTATGATTATATTTAAGGGGATAAAACTTATACTACCTAAATCACAAAGCGTTCTTGTTCAGTCACTAAATAAATGAAAAGACACACTATGTTCATGAAAAAATATTATATTTAGATGTGCATATATGCCGGATGATGGTAGTGCAGGCCTTTAATCCTAACACTTAGAAGGCAGAGGCAGGCAGAACTCTGTGAGTTCGAAGTCAGCCTGGTCTACAAATTGAGTTCTAGGATAACTAGGGCTACACAAAGAAATCCTGTCTCAAAGAAAAAAATGTGTATACACAAGTAATTCTACAAAATCAACACACCATTAAGACATCAGCATCTTTGGCAGAAATAGAGAAACAAGTCATCAGATTTACATAAAATTACAGGGACCAAAAATACCAAGATCTCAAAAAAAAAAAAAAAGAAAGAAAGAAAGAAAAAGAAAAAAGAAAAACCCTCACTTCTAGATTTCTAAGCTTACTACAAAGGTTCAGTAATCAAAACAATATGGTACTATCAGAGGATAAAAAAATATGCCATGGGAATAGAATCAAGAAACCAGAAATAAATCCACACATGCCAGACCAGTCTTTGCTAAGGGTGTCAATCAACTAACTCCATTCAACCGGGTTAAAAAAAAAACTTCAACTGATATTTCTGGAACAACTCTATTTGCATATGCAAAATAAAAAGTAGGACTTCAATTTCACATCCTGTACAGAAATTAAGTCAAAGTGGTTCAGAGCTCTAAATATATGAGCAAAAACTATAAAATCCAAAGGAAGACAATATTAGTATAAAACTTCATGACCATGGCTCTGACTTTGATTCTTACATGTGATGTAGCTTAGACGTTGAACATCCCACAAAGGCCCCTGTATTTAAGGGCTGTTGGGAGGTGGTACAACTTTTAAGTATAGGGCCTTGGAAAAGTCATTAGATCATCAGGTCAACAAGGGTAAGCCATTGTAATAGTTAATCTCAACTGTCAACTTAATAAGCTCTAGCATCACCTGGGAGGC